ATCACCGGCCCGAGGTGTGGGAGGCCGTCAACGAGTGTTTCGACGCCATGCCGCTGGCAGCAGTCATCGACAACAAGGTACGACGTGTCTAGAGTGTTTTGAGGTAGGCGGGAAATGTGAAAACCTCAGAGACCGGTGTGGGTGCCATTGGCGAGGGACTGTGCTTTGACTTTTGAGATTTTGTTTAGATTCTAGATCGATGCGTATGTTGTCGCAGTTGATGCGGCCGACGGCTTGGTAAAATGACCTCATCCCTTGGTGTGGATTCCGTTCTCAGATATTCTGCGTGCACGGCGGCATCCCTCCCCCAACCATCGACGGCGGGAAGATATCGGCCATCAACCGAATCCCGTGCCCGCTGCCGCGTCCCGAGACGCAGAGCCCGCTGGCCTGGGAGATCATGTGGAACGACCCCATCAGGTGAGGGCTGGCGCCGCGGACGAGAACGAGGAAGAAGAGGGTGCCTGTCTGCGATGAAGGGTCGTTGTAGAAGCCGTGGCGCGCAAGATTGTGCTGTACTGGCAGTGATGCTCACCGGAAGCGTCTGTAGTTCTCGGTGGTATTCTGTGTCATGCCCCCCGTGCGTCATCGGGGTGTAGCTCAGTGGTAGAGCGCTCGCTTCGCATGTGAGAGGCCCCGGGTTCAAACCCCGGCACCTCCAACTGTGTGTTTTCCGTTTGCCATGACCACTCGTCCGCTCGTCTTGCACTGATTCTCATAGTTCGTTGAAATCTGCTGCTTGTGGCTCACTTTTGGTGCGGTCATCTATTGAAATTAGCCCGTAAAACACTCATTACAACCCGCGCCCTGTCCCGGCAGTATGGGCGCGGTCAGCTCTGAGACCCTGGACGAGCTGCGGGAAAACGACGGCTTTATCGACAACTACCGTCGCGGCACCGCACACATGTTCAGCAGCGAGGGCCTCGACCGGTTCCTGGCCCGCAACGAGCTCTCACACGTGGTGCGAGCGCACGAGGTGCAGCAGGCCGGCTTTCAGGTGGGTGCACAGAGGGTGAGGGACAGATTGGGACAGAATATTTGGACAGATGCACGAGCTGGGACAGATTGTGCCTCAGAGTGCAGGTGGGTGTCATGGGGAGGGATGCTTAAGGTAAGGGACGTGTTTAATGTTGGCTTTGGTGCGCAGGTAGCGGCGGCAGGTGCCGATGGATGTTGTATTGACCTGGTAGCGGCTACCCACTTGTTCTCTGCGTGGCCAGCGCTGCGGTGGCTGCTGTGTAGTGCTCAGAGATTGTGGATGCAGAAGAGTGGAGCGTCAAGGATGCTGAGTGCAGGGAGCAGACCAGTGGTGCGTGGGGTCCGGTAGCTCTAAATTACTGCTAACGAGTCGGGTTCCGAGGAAGCCGATGCGTCGCTTGTAAGTAGCTCGCAGAAGCTTGTGACAACACAGAATTGAACCGGTTTGTGAGGTTCTCAAATCAGATTAATGATAATGAATGTCTTATTTTACCTTAGTTCTGTATGCGGCTGAATAGGGTGCAGGTCTCGCAGAAACAGGTCTCTCCACTTTCATATACTTACCATCCGAACGTACAGCCTTGCGCCTACTTTGCGAGCTGCGACCCACCTTACCCTTCACCAAACACCTTGACAGGTCGCTCCCTGCCTCAACCGAAAACCTGTGCCGAATTCCTCCAGCGATCCTCCCTGCGATTGTGGCCGCGCCGAGTCGGAAACCGGGCAGCCAAACAGCTCTGGACGCCTATCAGGCGGCCGATCGAACCGCTTCGCTATGCTCCAGAGGTAGCCGCACCGCCCACCGTCCGCCAAATCGGGAGGTTTTCACGCCAGCCGGCAGTGGACGCCAGGAGATCATACCCATTCGATGGAAATGAATGTGTTGGAGGTTTGATCTTGCCGGCGTTTTCCTGGTTTCGTGTAGTGGATATCAACAGCTAAGAGGCAACAGTGGAGTTTTGCGTGAGAGGATTTTGTGGGATCGTGTTGGTTTTCGCCCATGTAACCTTGGCAAGGTTGTTCGCTTCATCCCGCTCTGACCTCATCACCAAAGCTAAGTGTAGCTTGGAAGCCTAGGCATTCTTTCGTGCCTGAATGATGTAGCAATGTGGCATTGACTTCAAAACAGTCGCCATGTGATAGACGCTATAGTTCACTGCATCCCTAACAATACAGGACTCGATAATACAGAGTCTGGCCGTGCCTTATCACAAATCTACCTATCTGAGCCGAACGGAGCTGCACTTTGTCTTGCCTTAAACCTACGATCATTTATTAAAAAAAAAAATCACATAGCCTACCGCATGCCGACCGTCCGTATCCTGGGAGCACCCGACAGCACCACAATTACTAATTCGGCTGCCTCTACCGCTGACACAGCCCTCTGCCGTGCCATGTTTTATTGATTGGGGCGGTGCGGGTATATCGGCGACGATGTCGCCTGTCGGAGGCGGTACCGCTGCCGCCGTCTGCTGATAGTGACGTCAATGGAATGCTCGCTGAGTGCCGAGTGACCTCGCTTGGTGCCACCCGCTCATCGCTGAGTGCCACCCGACCTCTCCCCGCTGGAATTTCCACCGGCCGACCCCCTCCGTCGGGTGGCGGAGATTCTCCCGCCTTGGGATAGTCCGCTACCCTCCCCAGTAAGGCGCCGTGCCCCCCGTCTGTGTCGTCTCGCCGTGCGTCAGTGGCGGCGCCCGAAGGGAGTGGTCCGCCGGTGATGTCACGTGCTAAGCTGTTGGGGAATGTCGGAGCCGGCGACACGGCGAATGGCAAGGTCGTCGCCGGCCGCCGCCGGGCGCCGCCGGTGTTCGTTCAAACCGAGGCGGAAGGATGCGGGATTTTCCTCGTGGTGCCGGCCTGGGCCGGCCGTTCGGCTAAGCTCCCGGCTGTGGCGTGGATTTCTTTTCAGCAGCGTTCGTGTGGGCTTGGTGTGGTAGCTGGCGGACCTGCGATTTTTAGGGAGCCAGCGACTATAAAGTGATTTTTCGTCAGATTGTGGACGGTAGCCTTGAAGGACGTTGCAGCCGTTATAATCTGCATTTTAAACAATTCATGATTATTTAATTTCCCCACACAGGCATGTTTCGGCCGAGGTCTTTACCGAGTATCTGGTGTTCCTGGCCTTATTTTCTCCCGTTCCTTCATAATTTACTTGTCAGGGGCCGGCGTTTCTGCGTCGCCCGGAGACAAGACAGGAGGCCTGTATTGTAAAGGCGTGTGTTTGTTAATAGTTCCGTTCTTATATGTAGCTTGCAGTGTCTGTGTCTGCCTTACAGCCGACATTGCGACTTTGTCTGTCCCACAACTGACTGTGTGCTGTCCCCGTTCCTTATCTCACAGTGTCGTTGACCGTTCCACACTAACAGTACCCGTCCTTCAGCTCACATTTCACAGTGTGTCTGTGTCCTTCCCTTAGCTCGCAGTGTCTGTTCCGCGCCTCACACTATGTCTGTATCCGTTTCTCAGCTGCAGCAGAAGGGCCGCCTCCTGACTGTGTTCTCGTCGTCCCGCTACTGTGGCGGCTCGAACGAAGCCGCCTGTGTGCTGGCCGACTGCCACAAACTGCGTACTATCCGGCTGGACACCGCCTGAGAGCGCCGCGGGTCACTCGGGGTCACCGTCAAGGTCAGACGAGGTCAGAGGTCAGCTGAGGTCACAGGGTCATATAGAAGGTCAGCGCAGACTGTTTGACGATGGGGCAGGTTCGCCAAAGCTGTTGTTGGAGAGTGACAGTGAAGCGGGGCGAAGTGCGGACGCGTACCTGGTGACCCGGGAGGTCGCAGGTCAGCAGAGGTCAGTTGTGAAAGGTCAGAGGTCGGCTGGGTCGAGTGGCCAGCGCTGGCGGACAATGAGCTTGGCATGGCGTGATTTGGGACGTGACCAGAAAGAGGACCGGTTGCAGGAAATGTGAGGAAGGAAAGAGTAGGAGCTAATTCTGACCCGGCACATCCACGAGATGCACCCACGGATGCTAAAAGGTGAAGTTTTGCGGTGTTGCTCTCTAGCAGGTATGATTAATTTTGTGATATCCGCCGTGAAATAGTTAACTCGACTTAGGAGTGGGTTGGATTGTGATCATGTTGAATAGTTCGATAAATGAGATAGCAATATGAGAAGTTCAAGTTACAGAATTCACGGTTTTATGGCGGGAAGGTGGCGTCGCCGCTGAAAGTAAATTTTGTCGTTTTCTATTGAAAGATTCACATGGTGCCATGTCGAAACTTCCACAGGGGATCAGATGATTGTTGGTGAATGTTGGCCTTTAGGATATTCCGCTGCTCATTAACAAACCTGAAAAGGCCTTACTGTCAAACTTGTAATGCTGTATTTAATCGTAAATCGCCAAGAGCTTTAACATGGATCTTTCGATGATCGTGGGTCGACCGAGGCTTTGCTAAGCAGTCCTGAATGGGCTCATTGTTTTAGGGTGTTGTCCAAAGATCCGATGTACCCTAAACGCTCAGCCACCAATTCCTTCTAACAGGGTAAAGAAACTGCTGTGTTTAGTGCATCGGTATTCTGTGTCATATGTCTGTGAATGTAGAAATCTGCAGTTGCTGACCTGCTGGCCCGCATATCGCCTCTTTCACTCGCCAAAGAGTCGAATGAAGTTCATTATCACCGTGATATTTCTTGTAACCTTAACCACCTTAGCCATATTGATAGTTCGTGATGGTCTTCACTTGAGGCAGCGCATTTCAAACTCTGGGCGTGCCAGCTGCTGGTACGCTGTATGGATGCCTGGAAATTCAGCATTCAATAACAGCAGCAGCTACATCGGTTCATTGTGTAGTGAGAGTTGTCTGTGTGAATGATTTGCTGTCAGTTGGCTGCACTCGTGTATGAACGGTATGTTTTAATCCATAGTTGCATCATTGTTTTTTCCCAGCACACACTTTGTGCTTGTGTGGTGATGATAAATCGCCAGACCTGACGGAGTCAGTGATAAATATCGCCAGATTCGACAAAATATGTGGTAAATAATGTAAATATCTCCAGATCTGAGCTGACGTGAGCTCCGATTGTGTCTGTGGACCATACTGATATCCACTGATTGTGACTGGAACTGATTACGCTCATAAATGTTTTTTAACACCAGCTCACCGGGATACAAATTGTCCATGTTCAACTGACGAGCTTCAAACCAATGCGTGATTAAAACCTGTGTGTTCCACTATGCATTAGTTAGTGAAATAGTGTTGTATTGAAGTGGCACTTGCTGTTCACATCGCCACATCATAATATCACGTTTGCCCACCTAACGCGCCCTCACGGGTTCCTTCTGTTCACCCCAACCCGTGTGGTCTGTTCTTGTTCTGCTGTTCAGGTGTTCTCGGGGCGGCCTCTGAGCTGCGCGTGATCGGATCACGTGATCACCCCCCCCCCCTCCTTCATCCCCCCTCGTGTGGCTGTGACCGCATCGCGCGGCACCAAATACGGGTGCCAACACTAACTCTGACGTGCGATTGTTCGAGAATATACTCGGAGACATGCTTTGACATGGGTTTGTGACCATTGATGGGGGCCGGTCTTGTAAAAGATGTGATCTGAATAGTCACGAAGTTGTGATAGTGGGGCGATTCGTCGTGACTGCAACTCGACCGTGGGAATGTGTTCAAACGGACGCCAATCGCCGGCTGTGGGTGTGCTCACACACTGCCTAAGGAGGGCCCTACGCGATACCGTCCTCGCCCCAGCACAGGCCCCCTTTCCTGACCTCCGACCACCCGACCCGACACGACCCGATACGACCCTGCCCGCTTGACCTCCTTCATCTAGTTTTGGCTGATCATAGAACATTTATAACTTCTAAGCATGAATATCTAGGTAAATAGCTATATGTATCAAATAAAGTCGAGTTGACATCTTATTATGTTTCGACTTAATCATTCATACATGCTACCATTCTCTTCCTCAGTCAATTCGTACTTCATTCACCTTTTGTGGCACAAATCAAAGGTGCGATCGTGCTTAGTTCACATTCAATTGAATCCAGTCCGGGTGCCGTTGGTAGGCGTCCACCGCAAGAATGTCGGGCGGTTGCATCCCGTGACTTCTGGCACTTACATAATGATCTAATCTGGATGGCTGCTCTTTGGCCGTGCCATACCGGCCGACTCCCGGCTGAGACACGTGGCTAGTCCGTCTGCAGTAAGGTCGAACACCCTGGCCACAGGTGCGAGAAACTCGCCCTTGTTGGTGGTCGGAATCCCAAGTCCCTGTGGTTGGTTTCGGTAAGCTCCTGAGACAGCTCTGCAGGCTCTTCGGTTGAGTGGAGATACACAGGAAACAGGATTATGTTATTGAGAGTGCTTTGATATGACCGAAACGATATCTGCAAGGAACACAATGCACAAATACCCCTTACAAGTTACATGCACAACGATTTGTACCTTAAAGGTAGTGTGCCACCTTTGAAAGATTTCCCATTTTTTTTTCCTAGGATAAGAAGCTTCTGTTTTTACCTAATATCGCAAAAAAAATCAAAAATGGGCCTGGAATAGTGCCTTTTTCGCCTAAAAGTTTTTCGGTTTTTAGATATGTATAACAACTGTAGTGGGCTCACCTGCAAACAGGCGTCGGGCAACAATCGCGAATGCGGCGCACTTGTGACAATAAGCAAAGGTCATTATAGTGTTACGAGCATATTTACGTCTGGACAACGAGTTGCGGGGAAAATGCTGATTTTGTTGCAGTTTTAGGAGCCGGTGATTAGGCTGGATTTTTGGGTTACTTTTTCGTTCCGATTCATGTATTTCATAGTGTTTGGCTTTTGAATATTTTAGTTCTTTCAGATAAATATTACTTGCCTTACAACGTTTGTAAAAACGTTTCATTTTTTTATAAGCCGACGTTCAGAGTCCTAAAAATACATCAGCACTACAATCATTGTAAACAAACAAATGGAGCACCACTTGGCTCTGTTCCAAGGCCATTTTTAGTTTATCTGGTGGTTTTCTTACTCTTGTACGTCGTTTTGTTGGATGTTTTGAATCCCTTAAGATTGACTTATATCTATATAAGAAGCATGTTGACTGAAAACAATCTGAAGTATCCAGGAGGCTGACAGAGGTCCTGACTCCTGAGGCGCACCTCCTGAGCAATATCAATATTGATATCAAGTCAAAGTTGAACAGGTTATGAAATTTTGGTTGATAAACGAAAGTTGATCGGGCTCATATATCAGCAAGAAAAAGTTAAATTAAAAGAGCTTATTGGCCAAAAACAAGCTATAATATTGCAGACCTTGGAGCAATACTGAAGAGCACGCTGAGCAGGATCATGCCAGAAAATGTTGACTGATGAGCGCATATTCATGTATTGGTATGAATATTGAATGATAACTTACAACAGCAAGATAAATTAGTGCTAACTATCAAGTTAGAAATCTAGAATGAATGGACTTGGGCAGTTTTACTATGCAGTATGCTTAGATGCTATGCAGATTGTATAATGTGCATCAGGTACTCTGGCTGGCAAATGAAACATGCGATCATTCCATTGCTACTGGAGGAGAAAGCTTGGATCACTAAATCCACTTTATGTTGATTTTGATGTTAATCATCACTGTATTTCTTGAAAAAGGATTGTAGTAAAATTGTCAATGTGACAATCCATGCAACGATGTGATCATATAATGTGTTCATACTTCATAGTCATTCGTGATAGTGATTATTGGTCCAATATACAATGGCAAAGCTCTCAGCCTCAGCGTTTCTTCCTGTGGATGGCAAGTACTGACTCAGAGCTTAGAAGTATTAGTTTTCATCACAGGGTTGGGATAAAAAGTACTGATGGTAATCTTCCACCAAGGAACTCTACTTTGACATGGTATGAGATGTAGGCACAAGTAGGTAGGTGCTTAGTTCCTATAGTCAGTAGTTGTGTATGTTTAGTCAGGTTAGCTTAGATTAGATTGTTAGTTTTTTTTTTTAATTTGCCAAGTGTCCATAAAAATGTGACCTGAGCAATGAGCATACCTGACTAACCTGACAGCTGACCTAACCTCAATCATCACGTACATATTTGCAGCCTACCCAAGACCTGCATAGCAGTAGCACCCAGTTATAGATAGGTACTCAGTACTCACCCTAACTCAATCTTACCTGCTAACCTTCAACTTGCCAAAAGTTAGCTCACATTGCCAAGCTGCATCCAGGGAAACAGTCAACTGAGGAATTGGCTCATTGGGTGGCTAGTGTGAGTCTGTGCATTTAAAGTGTTTCTTCTCTGAAGCTGCTCAGCACTGCTGTATGTCATGTTAGATGCTCAGAAAATGTGGAAATGATTACTAAGCTACTTAAGTGCTTTGTTAATGCTCGAGACATGAACAAGTACAGATCCTGCAGGGTACAGCTATGAGTTAGGTGCTAGGTGAGTATGTTATGTGAATGTGCTGTTCCCTGTTTGACGATAGTAAGTATACAAACAAGCACAGTGTCAGTTATATTCAATCTCCACATAAACATACAACAAAAATGGCCATATAGCCTAACTCCAAAGTCCGAACACACCACAGATAACTTAAGCCTTTGCAGGCACAAAAATGTTTTGATTAACAGGACAGGTATACAATATATCCTCTGCCCTTGGGGATCTTGCTGCTAAGTTGAGGTACGATGACTGAACTTCAGGATTGATCAACCTTTTCTTAGCCACTGCTTATATACAAGAAAGACCAAATGCTTGTTTGTTTTGATTTACAGGACATGTATACAATATTATATCCTCTGTCCTTGGGATCTTGCTGCTAAGTTGAGGTACGATGACTGAACTTCAGGATTGATCAACCTTTTCTTAGCCACTGCTTATGTACGAGAAAGACCAAATGCTTGTTTGTAAACTG